CCTATCTAAATCCCAGTAACGAGTAACGCGTTCCTGGTTTTGGCATAATAACTAATTACCGTGCTCGTTACCACAATATTAACGTAGTTACTGTAACGCGTTACTTAATAACACGTTAGTCCCTACACTGCTCATATCTGTGTAGTCGTACACAAGGTGTTTATCCTAAACTGCACACTCCATGGGTTTCATTCAGACAGGCTTCAGCTGTGTTAGTCCCAACACTGGTTGAGAAGGTCATCCATCTGTCTTGTTCTAATAAATCCACATTTCAGGAAGACCTTTAGATCTGTTCAGTTTTATTCATAAAGCACCAGTTAACTGTCAGCAAATCTTGACTAAAGCCACTTTATATTGTAAGGTTACAGTGTTAATCTAGGACAAATGTTCACTCTAATTCATTGATGAAGTGAATGCAATTCATTAATCAAAGGTGAGTGGCTATCACTGACTGCATGTCATGGTCCACAGGATGTGAAGGATGTGTTGTGTGTTTCTGTGTTGTGTGTTTCACTACACATGTATACTGCATCATGATTAGACAGATTTAATGTAAACCACAGATTAGAGACATGAACAGGTTGGTGAAGTACTTTCTCTTTGCTCTGATGCTGAAGCTTTTATTGAAGACAAAACAATCATAGAAACAGGCACTATATGCAGTACATGCAGTATATCCAGTATTTTCATCTGATAGATTTAAATTTCTAAGCTATTCAAACATAGATTTTATATTTAGCATAAAGAACCAGACATTCAGATGATCACAAACTCCATATTTCAGCCTTTGCTGCTTATCCGCCAGCATTGCTGCTGCTCTGAGGGTTAAAGGTCAGGCCTCCTCCCACCACCAGATAGCCCTGCAATAAAAGGCAGTAACAGGTAGTATTAGGTAGAAACAGGCTACATGTGACTGAGTGGCAGCAGCTCATTCATTAATCCCAGAAATCTCAGATTTCTGGATGTTGAATTTTCAGATTTTGTCCAGATGAACAGAATCAACTTTCTGGGATTTCCTTACCTGGATGATTGAGCATGGATCAAGATCATAGTTTATGAAACTGACATTCATCATGGAACAGCAGATAAATTAATAATGACTCGGCATGTTTTTACTGTGATCGTTTTAAAAATTATCAGTGTGGTGTAGAGGACTGTTAAAAGTTTAGCACATCAGTGTTCAGACAGAAGGAAATCAAGCTCACTCACTTCCTCAAACTGGGTCTTTGCATCAATAATGCTCAGCTCAGCAGGAAGAGGGATGGGTATTTCTTTAACAAGCCACTCTAAACACACGCACATACACATAGATTACAATCCAGTTCAAAGTGTAATAAAATATCATGAGAGTCAGGTGAGGTTGTGTCATTCTGTATGGTAGTGCTTACTCTTTAAGACTTTAAGAAGGAAATTAACAACACCAGTCTGCACAAATAGAGACACACACATGTTGTTGTTGTTGTTGTTGTTGTTATTATTATTATTATTATAAAAATCTGCTGGTATAGAGAAATGGGTGTAAATCTATTAGAGCACGGTCTTCTTACCTCAATTTGTTCTATGATCTTTCCAGTTTCATCCTCAAATCTGAAAAGGTTTCACTGCAAATTCTCACAATATACAATCCTAGAGTACTAATGTATACACAGAGTGTACTATACAGTCAGTGTCAATTTGTGTTCTTACTTACTTTAGTTTTTGAATTTTCGCAATGAGGAGCCGTTCTTTGAATTCGACATCCATTTTAACTTTGCAGATCTACGGGAAAGAAAGTTTGATCATTTCTGCATGTGTGGTTAGTCACTTCCATGTATCTTGCATTCAACCTCTGGTAGTTTCACACAGCTCACACAGGAGTGTCCATATAGATATTCACAAAAGAAAGACTCCCACAGTCAGCTGTTACAGCTGTGTGAGTTTTCTGTTTTCTATATTTTCTACATGTAGCCAAACTTTCACAATAAAAGCATCAGACCTTTCTTTGAGCTGCTCTATTCTGCAGAACATCATGGATGTTCAGAAACATGTCGCAGAGTCAAACTGAAGAAAGCTTGAAGTCCAATTCTCAGGCAGCTTATCAATTTGTTTGTGATTTATTTGTGTTCTCATTACACAACACGTAAGCTAAAAGTATGTCCTTTTCTTAATATAATATGCAGTAACATCAGGCTGCAGTGAGTGATAAAGTTGTGTCAAGGACATACATACATACTAACATACATACATACTTTATTGTACCCAGCTCTTACAGTAAACTTGCAGATAAAGTCTGATGCGGAGTAAATACCAGCACCGAGTTTGCTTATTTGTTAAACACTGCATCTGCACATGTGCTTACCTTAAGAAAACTTTTTCGGTGAGCTTCACTTTGTGCTTTGAAATTCACAGTGGCAAAGAGTCCAGCCTTACGGATTTCAATGATTGGAGCCTTAGTCAGCTCCACTGTCCAAAGACCCTATGAATATTATTTAAAAAGCCATGTTAACAGTTTATTCTCATGTAATGATGTTTGATGATGAATGAAGTTTAAGGTGAAGCTTATTTGACTCTCTAACATAAACTCTTTGTAGAGTTTGCTACCGGTTTAATTCCCACAATGTTCTGGGCAAGTTTCGGGGCATTTTCCATCTGTAGAGAAGAAGACAGGTGATAAGAAGAGAGTTTGAACTCTTGTTAACATATTTGTGTGGTATTACTACTTTGACTAACAAAAAAGAAAAAGAAATCCTCCACAATGAGAATGTGATATTGTCTGTCATGGTCCCCTGTTCCAAGTTTTGTTTTTCTCCCTATTGCTCTCTCTTCTGCATGAGTGTCTGTCTATGGGCGGGACCCTTCTTCTCCTTCTTCCATTTTAACAGCAGCTTGCTGTTAAAACAGAAGCACGACACCCCAGTGTTTTTCAGACCCAGCAACACACTCAGACACATCCTGGGCCATCTGACCTCAGGAAATCACATGATAGGGTGGGGCTAGGTTTCACAATGAGCTCATCCGAAACCTTGGCTGATTGGGACCTACACCCGTTTTCACACCTTGGCTCATGTGATTAGGTAGAGGATCATCAGGGGGTCCTTTTGTCCCTCTTTGGGGGGAAACTCCCACTGGGTTTAAATCTGGGACTCCCCACCTTTTGACCCTAGAACTGAAGAAGCTTCTCGGATGAGAGGTGAAACGTCTTAAAGCAACTTAAAGAAGTCCAGACGCTTTTCTTTCCAAGCTCCTTAGACAGCAGCTCGCATCCATAGAAGTTGCATTACTGCCACCCCCTCGTGTTTACTTATATCACATCCAACTCTTTAAATCCTCTTAAATAATCATGTATTTCTCAGAAACTAAAGACCACTCCCTTCCCTTCATGATATCCTAGCCATTCAATCACCATGGGCGGGATACACCACTTTTGACTGAACACACCTGCACACCATCTGTCCCAGATAACCTAATCAGGAAGCCACTTCATAAGGTGGTGATTGAGACTCATTTTGTAGCTTGTCAATGTGCCTAGTCTGTTTTCCATCATCATCGGCATCATCATCCTCCTCCTCGTGTACAGACCTTCCCTGGATCCATAACGACATGGATGAGAAAGTTTGTTGTGGAAAAACTTTACTGGCCTGCACAGAGTCCTGACCTCAACCTGACAGAACAACTTTGGGATGAATTGGAGTGGAGACTGCGAGCCAGGCCTTCTTATACAATACAGTCTGTTATCGTGATCACCATAGAGGCAATAGTGAGAGTTCTTCAGGAAGGAATGCAGCAGAATGCAATAAGATGCAGGAGTGGCACAGAATTTTAAAATGGCATTCTTTAGTCTGGTCTAATTTATTTCCTTATTATATTAAACAATGGTGGAAGATCTGGTGTTATTTCTTTCAGTGAGAGCAGCTCACTGAATTGTCTGTCTGTAAAACTCATTACATGCTGCTGGTCTAGAAAAATGTCAGGTTAGTTCAGGGAACAGAAAGGTTCAACCAGGTGTTTATTAGCTTTTCTCACCTTTGGAACGTTAACTTCAAATGGTCCTGAATTGTAGATTGCAATGGCAGCCCCATTGAAGAAGAACTCAGAGATGCCCACATAGATCATCTTGTTAGTCTCTGTGAAAACTGGTTCTTTGCCTGCCCTTATTGAGTCAGTGTCCACAGCCTGTCCATGTACAGAAATTAAGCCCTGAAATACAGAATGGTCATTTTTATTTACAGAGTAAAAATAGCAACAAGGGGAGCAAAATAAGACTTCCAAGTCATACAATCATGAAGGAGACATGCCCAAGAATCTCAATGCATGTACTGGTGTGTATTTCATGGTAAAAACATTTCATTAGATCACATTACTATTAACCCAGATGCTAAGACTCTTTTCAGGCCTAATGTTGTCCAGCAGTGATAACAGCTGGCATCAAGAAAACACAACATATCAGTGTCACTACACCTTACAGTTTATTTGTGTTGCTGTGCTCTGACTTTTAACCAGGCGTTAATATCTGTAAGGTTATGTTCAGGGTCAGGATAATTCAGTGGGGGTTTTTTATTACCTTGAAAGATATATCAATGCTCCTCGATTTCACTGCAATATCACTGCTCAAGGAGTAGTCCAAGTCTAATTGGCGGTCTTCATGGACTGTCTTCATCACTGGCAAATCCCTCAGCATATAATTTATGATAGACCTAAAACAAAGACAGAACTACAGACACACAAACACTTCTGAGCCACACAGATGTCATAAGATCTGCAAAAGGCAGATTAATACTATAAAAGAATAAAAAAAAAAACATGTCTCGTATGTGGTGTTTGGTAGTTCAGGAGGTACAGCAGGTCATCTAATAATTGGAAGGTTGATGGTTTGATCCACAGCTTCTCCAGTCTGCATGTGAAAATACCCTTGGGCAAGATATTGAAGCCTTAGTTGGCCACAGTGTAGTTGTGTTTGAATGCTAGCTAAAAAGCATTTAGGTGTATTTAAAAAAAAAAAAAAAGTACTTGCATGAATACAGGTGAATGACGCACAATGTACAGAGCACTGTAAGTGCTTGATTAAAGGAGTGCTGTGTGAGAACCAGGCTTTTTGACATAAAATCACAGTTGCTGTTTAAGTGATTCAATTATTTCTCACAATTGTAAACAAAGTATCAAAACTGTTGGCACTTTATTTAGTACTTTTGGGTCATCTGATTGTTGGGGTTTCCTCTGTATTATTGAAGAATGTTTACCTTACAATTAGGGATGGGTATCGTTTAGGTTTTATCCGATACCGGTGCCAAATCGGTACTTTTGAAACGGAGCTGGTGCTCAAACGGTGCTCAAACCAGTGCTTAAAGAATGGAGAACACAAACTTTGTCCAAAAACCTCTCATGTTCAGCTGTTTTTTGTAAAAAGATAACAATGTTAGCCTTTTCTGCAGCTATGAGGCATATATGGTATCACTGTTGGCTGGAAGCAGTGCTTAAACAATGGAAAAAACACAAACTTTGTCCAAAAACCTCTCATGTTTAGCTGTTTTCCACTTTTTCTTTGGTCTTTTTAGCCTTTTTGGCCAGGGTGAAGGGAGTATCTGCCATCAAACAAGAAGACAGCCGCATGTAGCTATGATGATGTTTGCTAGTTCACCTTACATGTATTAATGTAATAACGTGGTTAGCCTACTCAACGTAAATTACACACGAACAACATTAAGCTACTCACTCAGAGAAGAACGACTGCTGCTGCCATCATCATCCTCATCATTTCTGCTACACTGGCAGGGCTAGGGGCCAGGACTCTCCTCTTCGTGTTTTTGGGGGATGTTGCATAACAGGCAACCCACCCGCAGTAGATGTGCTCGGTGTGAGGTCTTGCAGCAAGCTATCAAATACGGCGCATTTCTGGGCTTTTAAAAAAAACGCTATGCGTTGCCAGGTGTTTCATCGGATTTGAGGTGTTACCTCCTTTGACAGTATCACAGTATCAGCTTAAAGCACTTGTTGCAGGCTGCTGAGTTTGCATATTTTGCTGTGAAGTACAGCCAGACTTTTGACCGCTTCGCCTTGGGCATTTTTAATCTGTAGCTCTGCATAAAAGAACGTACGTACCTGGCCCCGCCTACTATCCTCGGAAACGTAAAATGATTGGCTAGAAGCGTATCACAGCTCAGGAAAAAAAAGCACCGAAATAAAGCACCGAAATGTGCACTGCTTTTCGGTCTGGTTACTACCGTTTATGTCAGAACGACACCGGTACCCATCCCTACTTACAATACAAAGCATGTTCAGGTGATTAGATTTTCTTTATAACAAAAACAATTTAATTGAAGTTATGGAAGATTATGTCTGAAGATACACAGAATAAAATCTGTGCTTATGCTGATTACTACTTAACAGGTATATTTGTTTTTGCCTCATTCATTTATTTCTTCTTATTATTATTCATTTATTCGATTTCTTGTATATTTTGCCGGTCACTATATTGTCTTTGCTCAGAAATCTGAGCACTGATAGATGACGTTTGACGTTTCCACTGTCTTTGCTTTTTTTTGTGTGTGTGTGTTGCGGCTTCATTTTGGATGGATTTCTCTGCCAAAATCTCAGGTTGCCTGGCAGAGCTACCATTCATTTCCAGTGCTGGGTAAGATAATTAGTAACTTAGTTACATTACTAGTTACTTCTATCAAAAGTAACTCAGTCACTTCAAGTTACTTGTTACATTCAAAGTAACTAGTTACCAGGGAAAGTAACTTTGGTTTTACACAGAATTCTCCTGTTAATGTGTTGCTTCCCTAATTGGATACCTAGCAAGGATGCCAGTCTTCTAGCTTGCTTACATCTCAGCACTGTCCTGCCACAAGTGCACTGTGCCACCTACAAACAGAAAAAAAATAATGTGCATCTTTCCATGAGAGGAATCCCACGCCTGGACCCTCGTCGACTGTTCCCATGATCCTAGCCTACGTCACGTGCACTTTTTACATCCAACATGGAAACTGCAGTCGTATTGCTTTCGATTGTACTCAGAACGCTGAGTAGGAAGATGTAGGTAACTCCAGACTGCAGATGAGCTGCATACAAGGCTGGACTGGGACAAAAAAATCAGCACGGGCATTTTGACTAGAGACCGGCCCACCAATATAGGAAAAATCATAAAGCCTTTGAATGGATATGTGTCAATCTAATAAACTTAAACCTACACCATCCTCCCTATTCTGTTATTCTCTACAGTACTGGTACATAATCTAGAAAATGTGGGAAAATACTGGCATCATATACAGTACTTACTTCTGGAGAAATTATGATGAGACCCATGGATTTCTATACATTTTACACCAGATAAAAACTTTGGTTGTAAGCTTCAGATAATTATTAATTAAAAGCTAGACATTTTAAATGACAATACGAATGAAAAGTATTTCCTTGTGCCCCCCTCTCCCTGTTAATGCCCTACCTGACGCCCCTGCACAGTTACCAGCTGTCAGCTACTTAGAAAAGGATCCTGGTGTTATTTGTCTCTCAGAAACAGTTCATAACTTCCCTTCAACTCATTCATGTCAACTAAAAGGTAAACCTGTTTCTCCATCACCTGTTCAGCTCTGATGATTCAGTAAGGACATCTCCTGGTTTCATCTTCATGTTTCCCCCTCACCACATATACAAACCGACATCATGACCAGCAGCTTTTACAGCTGTGGCTCCAGCAAACATCAGCTGATACTAGAAAGGATTTTGGCATAATAACTAGTTACCGTGCTCGTTACCACAATAATAATGCAGTTACTGTAACGCGTTACTTAATAACACGTTAGTCCCTACACTGCTCATATCTGTGTAGTCGTACACAAGGTGTTTATCCTAAGCTGCACAGTCCATGGGTTTCATTCAGACAGGCTTCAGCTGTGTTTCAGTTGGAACTGACCTGATTGAAGAGAAACGGGTAAAATCGGTTCCAAGCAAACCTGAAAAACAAACAAAATTCAGAAATCCTTTCATTCATCAGCAGGACTGGTGTGACAGACTATTGATCTACCAGCTGATGGTTCATGTTTCTCTGAGGATGAAGTGGAGAAACTGATCCTAAGACATCTTTAATTTGTGGACAAATAGTGGCTTTGTGGATGCTCCTGCAGGACCATTACTACTCTGAACTAATTAAAAAGATGAACTCAGCCAGTGGCCACATATACATTTCTGAGAAAACAGTTTACTGGTTACATAGCTAAAATTCCAATCAGCCCCAGCTGCAACAGCTGGATGTTGTAGGTGTGGGGGTGTCACTGTACATGTGTCTTCCAGTACCGAAAAGTATCTTAAACCAGAATTCTCTGTAATTTCCAGCAGGGGGCGACCTCTCTGGTCTGATTGCATAGAGGTCTATGAGACAATGGGCCTCTTTCCCAGTTCAGTGTTCTGAATAAATAAAACTTTTGTTGAACTATTTTTCAGTTAGAGTCAGAGAGAAGCAGGAAGCCCCTGTTCTTACCCTGTAATGCCAGTGGACGTTGTTCTGCTGGTATCGGCGTTGATTATGCAGTTATCTCGTGGTATGTCAACATCCAGGTGTCCTTGTGGGTTTCGGTTCATTCTCACTATTAACGTGGCTCTTGTGCCTTCTGCAATTAAGGTTGTCATACCTGTGATAATCCTGCATAGGAAAAGACAAAGAAAGTGCTGGAGGGTTTTTTTGTTTCTTTTTGTTTTATCTGCACAGACACTGTAGATCACTTGATTAATGGTTTTTAATGCTACTGTCACATCTTGGGAAAAAAAGCTTTCTGGACTGTGGATCTAATCTGAGGAGACTGTTCTCAAGAACAATTAATCTCAGCAGGAATTTTCTAGGTTTATTAGATCTAGTGCATGTATCATAAAAGCAGATACACTGTATGTGAAGCTCTGTGTTCATTCAGAGATACTTAAAGATAAAATCTGTATATGAAGATGAAACCTGAGCATGTCCAGCTTACAGAAGACCCCTGATTCTCAGCAAACCACGCTAAAATTATGAATGTTGCTGTAAATATACTTTTGTTATCTTTAGAGATTTTCAAAGAGCATAATATTCTTGAGCATCAACAATGCTGAAGCTTACTGCAGGCAGTGATCTGATTTGGTCTGTCTGAGAACATTTATAATGTTGTAGTTGTACGTACTTGATCTGAGTCTGAATTTCTAGAGAAAAGGTCATGTCCTTGATTTCAATCTGGAGACCAATGTTCTCCTGAAAGCTAAAATCCACCTTAGCAGGATCAACTTGTAGTTCAGTAAGTTTCACACTGTGATCAGGATAAAAAATATTGTACTGTAAAAAACTTAATATCAAATAAAACCATAAAAAAACACATTTTCATTTTCTAATTGAAATGAGGAAACAAAATAACCATGAACCAAAATAACTTATTGTTACCTTCTGATTGGTATATATATTTTATCTATGGGGAACTCCTTGTTAACCAGCCCCTTTAAGTACATCAGACCAAGATCCTTCACTGTAAAACACAGTACACGTACAACAACATATGTTGGTGAAACTGCAAAGACAGCACAGTAAAATAAAGTCCTTTCTGCATGTTAAAAAATTCATGATCCCAAAATTACAAAGGAAACCTAACAAAGGTTGAAGAGCCAGAACCCAATGAATCTAACACCATAAATTAAAGTACTGAAGACAAAAATTACTATTATATTTTTAATAAATGTAGAAAGCAACAGATAAACAATGGCATTCGACTGCTTTAAGTGTGAGTGGGTGTCTAACAATCAACAATTTGGTGGCTCGATCCCTAGTTCCTCCTGTCCATATGTTGACGTATCCTTGAGTAAGATACTGAACCCTGATCAATGTCAGATAAAAGTACTTAATTATAGAAAAAAGCAGTCTATGAATGTGTGTTTATATTAGGCTTTGATGCTTTATAAGTATTATGTTTAAACAAGAAATTAATATTCTTTCTAAACACAGTTCATAGGTAACTGGTGAAGACAAATCTTCATCTTTTAGCCTTAAATTTAGCAATAAATTGTATTTTTAGCATCAGATGTAGCACATATGATACAAATTAAAATTCATGTATACAAAATAATATTTAATTCACTTTAAAAAAAAATTGTTAAAATGTTCAATAAACTCTATTTTCAAAAAAATGCAACTTTTCTGACAATTATTTCATGGTTCAGGCTTTAAAGGACTTAAAGACAAGTGTTTAACGTGTTGGTGCAGCTCTTACAGACATCCTTCGCATTTTCCGTGATTTGCAGTTTGATGCCAGGTGGAGGGGAAGCAGTGTTGGAGGAAATCAGAGACACCAAGAAGAAGAAGAAAAGTACACAGGACTTCATCCTGAGCCAAAAACCTGGATCATCAGAAGAAAAGGAGGGTCAGGGTATTCTGACAGAATGACGTGCTCCAACCTGCCGATGAAACAGCGTGAATTGTCCAATTACCTCCAAAAGTCTGAAGTCAAAAGTCTGAAGAAGAAGACACTGATGAAGTCACTTGGATGAATAATAAAACGTTTCTCCCACTGAAAACGCTACATCCAGTCAAACAGAATCTACCTTTTAGAGTTTTATTCACCTGGATGATTGAGAATGCATCAAGAAATTGTCAAATTACTTTTGGCCCCTTAAAGAGGGTGGTACATGTTAAGGAGCTGAAACTCCTAAACCCATTTTAATGTGGATACCCTCAAATGAAAGCTGAGAGTCTACACATTATGTTCATGTCCATTATACAACTATAATTAGCATGAATGCTGATTAAGCATTCACAGTATTGAGATCCAAATCTTGTATTATCTATTCCATAAGTTGTTGGGTTTTTTTGTTTGTTTGGGGGTTTTTTTTGGGGGGGGGGTTACGCCATCTCCTTCAACACAGTTAACACACAACTTAGAAAAAACATTCAACTACCATTAGATTCCTCTTGTTTTGGACATCTTTATTTTCTATTTTTCATATTCTAAGTTTTATGTTTTATAAATATTGAACAAATTGATAGTATATTTCAATGGGAATGGGAATACTCTTCAAATCCTCATTACTCCTCTTTCAACTCTAACTGCTTCATTCACACCATTAAAACTAAAAAACGAAGCCAAGACATTGAACTATTCAGCGTGTACTTATCTTTTATAGTTTTTCTTCAATTTCAGTTTAAGTTTCATGCTTTGAAACTTTCATGTTTCTGTCGTTTCAGTTTATAATGGCTGTCTATGGGATTCTTGCACATTTAAACTCTTCTAACCTTATTTAATGTTTTTGCCTGTATAGTTTCTCCCCACTAACACACAGTTAGTTTTAAAATACAACCCACAAAACGGTTTAAGATTACAAAAAATTACCTTTTTTACATTACATTTTATGCCTGTTCCCTTCTTTCTCTGTATGTCACCCACTCATTGATACTCACACACACTCAGCAGGTTAGTATCAATTGATAACTGTCAGAAATTTGAATGAGCTCTTTTCTGACAGAGACATGGACCTAACTGTATCATTTTCTCTTAATGGAAATGCAGTAAGAGGCAAATATGTCATGTAAAATTAAATAAAAGAGTTCAAATTATGCTGGGTGGGAATGTTTAGTTTGACAGTAGGTGTTGCCTAACATCATGACAAATCTTAATTTTATCATATATGTGTGTGCGCACATGTGCAAGTTTTTGTTTTGTGTTGACCTGCTTTGGCTTTTTCAGACAACTTGAAGTATCCACATCAGGTTTTAAAAAGCTCATCTGATTTAGCTTTTACAGAGTCCATTGATCAACAAAACTTATTACTATGGTGGGATTTCTTTTTTGAAAACACCCTTGCTTTATTGTTAGAAACAAATCTTTTACACAAGTTAGAAAATTAAGCCACCTGCATTCATTCTTCAAACAAATAAAAGAAAGAGGAAGAAGTGTTACCTGTTGATGTACTTGTTCTGCAAATGTTTGCAGAGACTCCAGCAGCTGATCAGAAATTCACCAACCCCTCTGATACTTATACCGGCATTTCCCTATGCACACTATAGAAATCCAGCTTTATGACCCTCAACAGTTTGACTAAAGAAAGATATGTCTGTGAGCTCACTGCATCAGTCCAGTACATTCAAATTCCAGCTGCCGCTACTCTGGCTGTAGTTCAACAATTTACATACTGGATATGCAGTATCTCTTACCTTAACTGTTTGGTTTCACACCTGGTGTTAGCTAACTAACATTAATAAGGAAGTTTCTCCATAACAGAGACCACAACCATTCTGCTTAGAGCCATAAAACACTTTTATTTTAAGCAATTAATGAGTAATGTATTTAATGAAGTATGGTAATCTAAAATAAGACATGGACCCATGCATTTCCATTTCATAGAGCCGAAATGTGACAGTTGCAGGTATATTAGTTGTATATAGTATTTGTATTTGTATTTGTATTCTATTTTTATCTTATTGTATATTTATTTTATTTTATTCTACTGTATATAGTATTTTATTCTATTCTGTACAGTTGTGTACTGTATTTATTCTTATTGTATTCTAATTTTTGCCTCATAACTTTTGCACTGTCCACTTCCTGCTGTGACAAAACAAATTTCCCACGTGTGGGACTAATAAAGGTTATCTTATCTTATCTTATCTTATTACTTTTTGTAGTAAAGCTGTTAGCAGTAATTGTAGTAGTCTAAAACGTTTCACCTGTCATCCAATGAGAAGTCCAGACTGTTTTCTTTCCAAGATGCTTAGACTACAATGACATGGATGACTGAGAACTTTTACAGACATAGCAATTGTAGTAGCTCCCTTGAAGGTATCACTAGTCTCTTGCACTAGTATTCAAATTAAAAACAAAAGCTTATCTTATGCTGAAATGCCAGTAAGTTAATGTAGGAGATACCATATATTTGCCTATTCAAATGGCTGCAGCCAACAGTTACAGCACCAATGTAAAACAGTCTATTCAATAATCTTTTTTTTTAATGTCCATGTGGGCAAAAACTAGCTTTGTGGGAGGTGGGGGATTTTCATACAGGAAAATAAACCTTAACTGTTTGTATTTTAACACAAATTCTGATCTTTTTCCATGTATACAAAAATAAATATTAATATAGAATAAATAAGTGAAATACATTTCTAATCAATAACAGCTGAAACTAATTTAAAAAAAAATGTATGTGTAAGTTTGATATGATCCTCCCTTCCTCCACTTCTATATGAAGGTTTTCTGCTTTGTGAATTTGGACATAATTCACTACACATGACTGATGCAGAAGTGCAGAAACATGTATCAACACATGAAAAGTCACGACTATTTCACAAAATACTATGAAACTGGTTTACTTTCTGACTTTGCATTTTATTCAAACTGACCAGCCAGACTGCACCTCCAGCTGCTTTGAAAGAGTCACAGCAGCTAAAAAAAATGTTTGAGTTCAGGCAATACACAGGTTGGTCAGTCTGGTCTTACATTCTCAGTCAACTGCTCTGTCTACCAGTAGCTGGTGTTTCACTTGTCTGGTATTCCTGCCAATTCCTTTCTGTGCCCCGCTCATGTATTGAGCCATATTGCATGTTCATCTTAGCTGTTATGATGCCTGACAGGAGCTTCCATGTGGTACTGAGGCAGGTTATTGGCCGGTAGCTGAATGCGACCACTCCCTTCTCCCTTTCTGCCATTCTATTTTGCCATGTCATGACACTTGTGACATTCATTTGCTTTCATACTTTAAGTCCATTTCTAGTGGAGGTGGCAAATATTTGCTGTTGTACTAATTTAACCTTGATACAAGTGCCTTTCCAAATCTGAGGTAAAACTGGAGGCAGCCATGCATTTCCACAAAGCCAACATACGTCAAACACTTTTTGTCAGGGTTTTGCCGTGGAATGACAGATGGGCGCTTTTCCATCTGTGCACTCTTTTGTGATTTTTACTATTGTAAGGTAATCAGTTTGATATAACAACATCAATAACACTATAACAGTGGTTTTTAGGTATTTACAATTGGCATTGACTGTGCCCACATCAGAATCCCACATATTATACTGTATATATAATAATATACAACACAACCTTGTAATAGGTTGGAAGTGTGAAACACTGTGTTGTTTATTTCTGACACATTTGCTGGAGCTTCAAACAAACCATCACTACCTCTTCTCCTTTTTGTCAACAGCTCACATTGCTTCCACTCTCAACCTCACCACAGTCTGCAAATGATTAGAAAAGTCACACCAATACCAACCATAACTGAAAAACATACTAAATGATTCGAGCCAACCCAGCCTAGGTTTTCAAACAGATGCTTATCTAAGCATAGATGTACTGCCTGTTGATTTTTAATACCTGCACATTAATTGTTAGTTACACAAATTGTGGAAAAACTGCAAAACATTTTAGAGTAAATCTGGTATCCCTTTTTTTTGTAAGCTGCATTTGTTGTACCATCCCTTTTAACACATGGAGCTTTCCATGTTCCAACTTAGCATAAAAAGGAGAATGACGAAAAGAAAAAAAAAAAATAGGTAGATGTCTTTTGTCACTGGGCCATATGAGGACTTCACCTCTGGAGTAGGTTTGCTCTGAGTTGCAAACCGGGTAGTATAAATCTGTGTTAGGCGAAGTTAGTGTGTTTTTCATGTCATTCTATGGTCTGGTTCCATATTTGTTCAACTACTGATTTTGCCACTTTATCTGCTCTGTGGTTGCCACAAAAAACAGAATCTTTGAGATAATATAAACTTCAAATTTTCAAAAAACAGTAGTTTATAGAATTATGTAGGGAGTATGATGTGTAATGGATTTCGCTAAATCAGCTGAAACTACTTTTTCCATAATCTGTCAAAAATCATGTATCACCCCATGTGTTTGCCTATGTTCCGCAATCACTGCACATCCTACTTGATTTTAACTGGGAGCTTGGTTGCGTGATGCCAAATCATCCACAAAGACCCTCAGATTAGAATTAGTCAGCGATGCTTCCTGTGGGTCTGGATGAACAGATTGCAGAAATGGCTGCTATAAAATCATGTCGTTCACCATCTGCTGCTGTGAGAGAAGCGATGCTGGGTTTAACCCAGTACATCTCTTAATTGTGACATTTGGCATTATTCAATAATACAATGTGATACCATAACCAACATGCAGCTAGTAAATACATAGTTTTTGCTGTAGAAGGATCAGTGACACAAAATGCAACTAAAGGATTACGGCTGGATGGTCCACAAACTCATGTGAAGCTAGAAAGTCTTACCAGCTGCTGCTACTGCTCACAGATAAGCCTGCTGGTCTCTATTATTCCCCACGATCCTGAAACAAAATATGTATCCAACCTAATTTCTCCTGATCATCCTTTTTGCCTTTTTTTCTCCATAATTTCCATCTTATACCGGATAGACTTTTTTTTAAATACAGGTTTAATTACATTTCTGATTTCTTAAATAAAATAATTTGTATTTGGAAAACTACAATACAATCAGAAACTGAAGTTGGTCTCAGCCGCTCATCACTCTGGATTCTTTATCAATTGAGATTTCAGCAGTGACCCCCTCTGGTCTTTGTTGTCATGCACTCACCTCCATAATAATTTGTTCATAGATAACACCTCCAAGAAAAACAAGATTTCTAAAAATGCATTACACGGACAAACAGCATCACATGTTTTCAATATGCAGAAAACAAATGGTTAGATATATTGCTGAAACATTGTGATGAATAACTGTCAGCAGTTATCATTGTAGGCATTTTTTTAAAAATCAAAATACTTCAGCAACATAACATGGCAGCTCTGCGGAGCACTAGTGGCATCTACCATTTAATTAGCAATTGGCAGCCCTTCATACCCATCTGCTGATAAGCACACCCTCCTCATAAAATGCCAGGGATGTTTCCACACTTTTCAAAAAAAGACCATTAACCGTATAAACATGTATATATCATATCTATAATTAAAACTATCATCCAAATCCATAACCCTAAATTTAAACCATATAACTCTACAATGAGACTTAGAAAAACCCCAAGCATCTCTCCATCTCAACTTCCTCCTTTGTCTCTCCTGGAATCTTTAAATAGTTCAGAGACCCAAGGACAAAAGCTACAGTTCAATAAAGCATTTGCATTTTAACTGATGCCACATTTTTTGATGAACCAGAAACACTACTCCTTAAATTCACTATAACACAGGTGAAGCAAAATTGAACATAATGCACACAGGCTGAGTGACTATCAAAATAAAACAGGAAGTCAAGAACACACACTGAGACGCAGACTGACAAAATACAGGGAAGAGGAGGAAGGAGACAGACACGACTAGGAAGACACAGAACGAGGGTGAGAAAGCCAGGGGCACAGAGAGCCAGAGACAAAGACTGGGGAAAGGCAAATAAACATGGAGACAAGACTGAACACAGGAAGAGATGCAGGGAGAAGACACGCCGCATAAGAAAAGGAACTGACTAAACTAAAACAGTAGAAGAAGTAGAAAATGAAATAACAAAAACTCAGAGGCTCTCTAAACATCTCAGAATCCCAGTATACTGCAAAAACAAACAACAAGTTTAACAAACTTGTTGTTTGTTACAACCAAGGGTCAAAATTTCCCTAACAACAAAGTCCCTATGATTCGTGGGAAACACAAACCCCTCCACCAGGATAAGGTAGCAATTCACGGAGGATTTTAAACTAACATTTGATACAAAAATGTGTATATATGTAAATTTACACCAGTTTATGGATAACATGATTCAAGTAAAGGAAATCATGCACCAATGGCCATGAGTACCCTTCACAGAGAGTTGGGGAATGGCTGCAATCACAGCATTGTAAGATGGCGAAAGATGTACCCTTAGGCCCCCTCCTCGATTCAGAGATGGTCTTTCCCTTTTCACGTAAATGGCCTCCTTGACTCCGCCCTCAAACCAGCCCTCCTCCCTGTCCAGGATGTTACATCCTCATCATTGAAAGAGTGTCCACTG